TGTGTTGGTTGCTGTCTAGCTTTGTTGGCCACCCATGTTTCAAACAACATTTTCCTTTCTTTGTACACAGACCCACTAATCAGTACTATTGCTTTGCCTTGTGTTGTGGCTGTGTTAGCAAACACTACTTTTTGATGCAGAGTGAGCATAACAAATGCACGTGTGCAGCTGTCCCGTTTCATGACAGCGGTGAATTACAGTATGATCAGCACCTAATCTTGCATAATGTTGCCTTACACATGATGAATGACTCCCAGGCTCTTCTACACAGTGAGGAACACAGCAGTGTTTCCCCACAGAACCACAATGTTCGCGTCTTGTAACGTAAGAGGTAGCGTCTCTTTCTGTCTTTCTCTGCAAAATGCTAAAATGCGTCGCCAAATACACCCATGTAGCCAGGTAAAATCTATGTGTGGGAAACTCTGCACAGCTTATTAATTTTACCCAGGTATCAGATCATACTCTGTATCGGCCACTATCCAAAGCCCAGGAACTGGTATCGGTATCGGATATGAAAAAGTGGTATGGAGCCATCCCTAGTTGAAATTCATCCCCTTTAGTACTTATGTCCCAAACATAAGTACTATTACAGTCTGTACCAAAGCTAACTGAAAAGTAAATCACTGTAAGGTGATCACTACGGTTGGCGGCAAAGGTAATGTTATCGTAGAGTTGACAGGAAGTAAACACATCTTAAAACAGATACGTCACACAACATAGTGCAAGTAAAGAATATTACCATGAAATTAAATAAAAACAGGTAGTTCAGCATTTTACAGCCCCGACTCATCGTTATTACACAGAAAGTGCTTCCAGGATACCTCTTTAACATGAAATTAATTTGAAACAAGTAGCTTAGCATTTTGTATTACTACACTGATATAACCATTTTATTGTTAGAGGGTTAACATACTGTTTCCAAAATATTACTATAATATTACTAAATAGTTTTGCTTGCTGCAATCTTTAAATTTGTTTCCCCATTATCTCTCTTTGTTTTTGGACCCTGTTCAATAAATTTTAGTTTAAAGTTTCCCAGATATACCTATTGTTAATACCTAGCTATTGAGTGGATATTCATTTTGTAATTACATGGCATTAAAAAATGTTTCCCTCTTTATTATCAAACAATTAGCAGGCTGTGACTGTGGTACAGGGACACATGCTCTCAACAGGGGTCCTTTGTTTCAGTATAATACCACCAGAGAGAAAGTGAGATGTAGGGGGAGAAGTATAGGAAAATGGTGAAATATAGACAGAAGGTTGGACATGGAGGATGGGGGGTGAAGAGGATGGAGAGGTAATTTCAAGAAAATGGTAGTGAGAGGGGACCTTGGGGGGTTTGAAGTGAAAGGACATGCGCTTTTGTGTCCTCCCCTCTTTCCTTTTCTGTTGTTGATGTTCTCAATGTTCCTTTCCCATGAAAACCTACATCTCTCAGCTCTTAAGAAGAAGAAAAATGCTGTAAAAGTGTAAGAGTGTTAAGAATGCTACTTTCTGAATTTAGAGCACAGGTTATAGTACTGAATGTATGAGCAAGTGAAGCACTGAGTGTTCCAGTGGGTTACAACTTGCTCATGGACTGAAACTACCTCAAGGAAAATGCTGGAATAAATAACACATGCAGTAAAATTTACCATTAGTTAACATCAAACTTCATTTTTTCTGTCAGACTATTTTACATACACATTGATTCTGTTTCAGCATCTATAAAAGTCTAAAAGTTTGTGTCATATAATGGATGTGACGCTTAAAAATCAAATTACTCTGGCCATAAATGACTTGCAAGTGCACGTGCATCTTTTCCTGAATAATTACCAAAACACAGAATAGTTTTATGGAGCAGCAAAATATAAGACACGCCCTCAACAGACTGCTCTATTTCATGCAGTGACATTTGCTGACAGTTTGTTAGGTAGTGTTTGTGCTTTAGGCAGGGAAACATCATCCACTGCTGGGTCATGTTTTAATTTTAGAGCCACACGCACACGCGCACACACAACTTACCCAGTGCTCCAGTTAACTGACTTTGAGTCAAACATACTGTACCTGGCTATGCAACCCTACAGTTATTTCTGGACTCACTTTGACTAATATAAACACACACTCACATATAAGCACATACACAAACGCGGCCCCTCCCACACATGCATGCCGGTATACAGGCATGCAGAGACTAGATACACACAACCTGCAAGCTATTTCTGAGCCAGTGGCAAAATAATATGTTTTGATAAGGTCAGCCTGGATGTGGTTTCCAAACACGAGCTCTTTCTCTGACTCTCTACATGCTGAAATATCTCTTGAGTTAATTGACAGCTGGGGAGGCAGTATAGACAGAGATGCAGAGCGTAGGGAGAAAGAAAATTAAGACAGAAAGAGATTAGATTCTGGGAAATATTTCTGGATTAATCTACCTATTTAGTAACGGCTTTTTGGCCTTCAGATCGGTGTGTTCATTGTGGAAACCTTGACTCACTTCAAATATGAGAGGCTGTTATACACAGAAGTGCAATGTTCACATAGTATTTGGTTTCAGCCACCACATTATGCAACACATGGCTTTACATACAGGTATCGAAAAGGCTGTTTATCTCGTGCACCGGGGGAAAGCAGTTCTCTAGAGGTCAGCCCATTATCCAGCCATTTTTATGTTCGTGTAAAAAGTCTATCTTCAGGTTCAAATCTGCTGCTTTAGAAATCAGAGGTATTTAAAGTATTACTTGAAAAAAAAAAAACACCCCATGTTCACTTCAGCTGTGTAGAAAATGTTTCAGAACTGTTACCAGGCCGTAAGCAGGCAGATTGTCAGTGACTTTTACGGAAAAGTGACTCGGAGGGTCATTTTCAAACACGAGGCGTACATGTAAAATTGGCACCGCGTTTTCGGATTACAGTGCATGTCTGAAAGTGGAAACAGAGACAGGGTGTACTGTATGTGAGTGTGTGTGTGTGTCCAATTTCCCAAGGCTTTTCAGATACCACAGCCAGACCTCAAAACTATCATCACTGTTCTCGCTCCCATCTGCCAAAGTCATCACCCACACACAGACACTCTCTCTCTCATGCGCACACATACACGTGCACACACACACACACACACACACTCAAAAGAGGTGTGAAATAGCCATCCCTCACTATTTTAACAGGGGTGGGAACCTGGCTATAAACTTTCTAACGTCCTAAACTTCTGTATGTCATTCCACTCACTGACTTCCTCTCGCTCTCTCTCTCTCTCTCACACACACACACAAACAAACATTTGTTGTTGGCTTGTTAGTCTGCTGAGGTGTTGGTTCTTAGAAGCAAAATAAAATGAGGTGAGAAGAAGCTAGTAACAACTACTCTGAGTTTTCACTGTTTTAAACCTTACACTTCTATTTTCACTTAAATACGTTTTATTTAGATGCAGTAAGAGTTCACAGTACGGTGATATCAGCCATGTTAAAGGGCTTTACTTAAGTACATTAACACAGTACTATTCATCTTTGGACAATGATGGGAAAAAATAAGAAAATAAGGGACTGTGGAGGAGAGTGAGAAATATACAGGAAAAGAAAAAATGAGATGTGAAGATAGTGAAAGAGTGCAGAAAGAGAAGATAATTAACGTTGAGGCCTCTGAGAGTGGAAAGGTTGCAAATGAAAAATGAGATGCTGAAAGAGTGACTGGTGATGGTTGGAGAATATAGTATGTCTTCAACTGTGCATCACGTTGAGACTATCACGTGTAAATGGTTAGGGAACAGCTGTGGTTTCATACATGCTCCGACTACGGCCGTTCTGGACCTGAATATTTATCTGATTACATCAGAAAACACATCATGAGAAATAAATGGAAAGAATCCTTTAATAATTGATTAGTATACTCTAGGATACTCGGGGAGCTGTTATTGTTCTTATGTTGGCTAATGTTGGTGATATTTCATGCTGTCCATGGAGGAAAATGACTAAATGTACCGGGCATTAGGCTAACACATAGATACTGGAGTGGTTCAGTTCCCTGCTTGACTGTCAAGTCTGACCAGAGCTGTCTCTCCTGTGTCCTCTACTCACCTGCCTCCTGTCTGACTCAAAAACACTCATCTATAGTGTATGTGAAAATAAAAATAAAACAAAATTAAAAACAACAGCTCAATCAATGGTGATATGATATACGCAGCATAAAGTGCACCTTGCAAGTTATTTTGACAATTTGCTCAACATTGACCAAACAATCTTTATCTCTTAAATCTCTGAAATGACATGATGTAAATAAGAAGGTTCGGTGTTATTGTTATATTCCCACCAAGAAGTTTAATTGTTGCCATCTATAACTTCAAAATCCTGTAAAAGTTGTCCTGTGAAGGATGCAAACACATGCACTAACAACATGCAATTCAGTGAGGAGCCACTGAAAATGAGATGTGTCTTAGTGAGCTCGGCTCATGTTGCTGATTTGAAAAGCATAAAACAAGCTGTGCAAACCATCACGAGTTCCTTATCTTGTACTCATGTATATGAGATTTCTGGTAGAGTGGCGTTCTTGAAATTCAGTTGCAATTTTTTTCTAAAGCCATCCAAACACTGTTAACAAAAAATAAATATTTTAATATTTGCTCGCTTTCTAGTTCAGTACACCATCCAGACAGCACTGTGTGAAAGATGAGATTTGAAGTCAGAGGTTAAAAATAAAAACACCAGAGAATCCACTCATGACAGCTTTGAAAAAGTACTGATTGTGCATAAGCCAAAGTAAGTTTTTGTGGGGGAGCAGCTCTAGGGAGTCAGGGGTCAGTTTTCAACCTTGTGTGTGTTCCTCAGGGAGGGGATAAGGTGAGTTCCTGGCTGAGACTGAGGCCTTCAGAGACGCTCAGAAAGACTTGCAGACTACACAGATGTAATTAGAGGCTTCAAAGAGAAAAGAAGAGACGAGAAGAGAATAGAGCAGAACAGTGATACGTGCTGTAAAACATTTACTTTGTGGACCTCCTCATAAAGGTGAGTGAGAAGAAGCAGTACCTTGGTAAGGAGGCATACTGACGTTCCACTTCTTCGTAACGTGGTGCCAGCCGATGATCTGCACCTCTGCCTGGCATCTAGTAAAGAGAGACAATTGTTTAGCTTGTGGGTGTTTGAAAGGTTTGAAATATTCAAGTAAAGTTGCTCCGTGCAGCAACTAGCCTGTACTAATAAACAGTAAAAAACAGAGTAAGCAAGTGCAGTGCGCACCCATCAGCCCCTTGCTTTTCTTGCATGTGTGTCTGCGAGTGTGTGTTTTTGTGATACAGGGGTAATTTAGGATTGACAAAGGCTAGTTATTAGGGATTAAGAGATAGAGTTTCGGTCTTCTGAAGGGTTTTTTTTAGGGGGCGAACATGGTCTCCATCCAAGATTAGGTTACTTCAAAACAGGATGGAGTCGTCTCGCTCATACACACACACACACACACACACACACACACACACACACACACACACACACACACACAAACAGAGTCAGGTCTCATCTCCATCTTGAGGAAAAAAAAAGATTAAGTCAAGCTGCTGACAGTTCAATCTTTCCTACTTCCTCTCTTACTCTTCATCTCACTGGTTCAGTCTCTCACCCTCACATCTTGTTTACTCTTCTTTCACTTATTCCCGTTCCTCTCTTTCACACACACACACACACACACACACACACACACACACACACACACACACAGTCGCTCTCTCAGAGATTACCCCGGCCTTTTCAGTAGAGAGATTCCAGCTGCTGCGGCGCTCCTTAAAGAAGCCGACTAAACCCTACACGTCAACAAGCTCCATTAACACACACACACACACACACACACACACACACACACACACACACACAGACACACGCTGAATATTGTAAATGAGACTCATTTTAACATAACGTGGGGTGAGAGAGTGAGATATGATTCAGGTGATTGGGTGTTGTGACTTTGCATACATGCTGAACTCCAACAATAAAAATTATACTTACGCAGTATGCAGCATGACATAGTCCCTGCAGGCTCTGTGTAATGCTGAGTCTCTTAAAATAGTCCATCAAATGTAGTCTATCACACCTTTGCCACAGTAAAATGGTGTTTTTGTTGATAATAGACATTTCCAGCGGATACAGCTGCATAACACATGACTATTTCTTCAAGTACACTGTTGTACCTTCGACAGGACATTACTGTATGTCATCTGCACATTTTGGAGCAATAATGTCCTGTAAAAGTAGAGTGTGTACACCATTTTCCCACATAGTGGTGGAAAGAGTGCCATTAAAATCAAAAGAACCTAATGTAAAGAGGGTGAAGTATGTGTCTGTGTGTGTCCCAAGTGGTGAAGACAAAAGGTTGAAGGTTTTATAGAAAACAAGGTTCTTGTTCTCTCCTCAACTCAAGCTAATATTTTCAACACAAAGGGTGCTGAAAATTATTACAGACCACAACCTTTTCTTCTCTCTCTGCCTCTCCTCCTCTCTTTGCATTCCAGGGAATGATGCCAGGAGGCATATAAAATAGATTTGGTGGTCCTGCTTTCTTTTCAACACCTGTCTTTATAGCTTCAATATCTCAGGTAGAGAGACAGTAGGATATTAGGAGGGAATAGAGTGGTGGAGCGAAAGAATGAAAAGGCATTCGATGGAGAAGAAAGGAGGAAAGAGAGCTAGAGTGAATGAGAAGTAAATGGGTTAGAGAGAGCGGGTGAGAGAGATATAGAGGGGGAGTGGGGATATTATGAAGCCATTGAGGAGAGGCAGGAAGGGGAAAAAGGGATGAGAGGTGAATTATAAAACAAGGGAATGAATGGGGTGAAGACGGGGACGACAGTGGGGAGGTGAAAGGGACATGAAAGAGACGATTTAAACAAGATGTTAAAAGAGAGAATGAGAGACAGTGAGAGGGGTGAAAGATGGGGAGGGGGGGGACTGCAACATCCAGAGGAGACTGAGAGTTGAGAGAGATGAGTTAAGGGGGTGAAGAAAAAACAAAGAGGCATGAAAGGAGGAGACAAGAGAAAATAAATGAAAGAGGGAGGCAGGTGTCAGAGAGATGGAGGAAGGAAAGCCGCTGAAAGACAATAAAATTTGATAGAACTGTCATCAATAGACGAGGCTGGCTGTTATTCTATATTTTTCTTATTATCAACAAAGCTCATGAAAAGACCAAAACCAACTTAGTCTGCCTTTTAGTACTTTCTTACCGTGGCTCTCAGGCAAAGCCCATTGGTTCCTATGAAGACATATGTCTTTAAAAACAGGTCACAAATGTATGGTTTCATTTTTTTTGAAGGCTCAGTAATTTTGTGAAACAGCTCGGCACAGTACTTTTTAGCAAGCATTATTCAAACAGGAGCAAATGGGGAATTTGTTGGGGAATATTTTTGGCTACGGATTAATATACATTTAATGCACTAGTGAGATTTTATAGTGGCGGCATCTGGCATTGATTTAAAATAAACTACAGTGCCAGTGTCCCCAGTGCAAGCGCTGTGGCTCATTTATGTGTTTTCAATCTGTTTTGAACAACAATGGAGGTCTACGTCACAGAGGGAATAAGATATTTCGAGCTTTGGCTGCACAGGCAATACTTGTAAGTAGGATCAATTTACTGTTGGTTTTGGTCTTTTCATGGGATTTGTTAGCAACAAAGAAAAATATTGCTAGCTTTGTGATAAAAAAGGCTGCAGACCCCGAGCCTAAAAGGTGCCCTAGTTCAGACAGACAGAGTGAGTATGTGGCTTGGTGCTCTTCTGCTCAAGTGTGCATGTCTTTGTGTGTTTCCATACACATGGATTAAGGGCAGATTACTGTGTGATGCCACAGACTGAGTAAACACAAACAGATGAGTGTGTAATGAGTGTGGATGTGTGTATATGAAGTGAGGAAGTGTATAGAAACCAAACAAATATCTGACCACACACAAACACATTTGTATGTAGTGAGGGTGTTGGAAGAATGGCACATACTTGAAGTTTATTCACTACAAATTAGCTTGTTCATGAAGAACACTTTCTGCTTTTTAAGTAACATTTAATTGTGTGTATACCTCTTTGTCTGTGTGTGTGTGATACAGCTTTAATACCGTTCTGCTTATCGAAGCAGCAAAATCTGTTTGTAATAAATACAAGAACTGGACAGTTTTTGATTCACATGAAGGGATGCGCAGCACACAAAGCAGAAAGCAATAAGCACCTCAGACAAATAATGAATTTATGTAAAACTACCGTTTTGTTAGACAGATGAACACCAGAAAATTGTGTTCAAATACAACGACAAAGTTAATCCAGCTACTTTTTATGTACATTCTTTGAAAAAGATTTTTTGTAAAGGTAACAAAATGCATAAGGCTCTACTGAAAAATAGAGATTCAATTCAGAGTGCAATTCAAACGGGATCACTGTCTACCGTGCATATTCTTTCCGAAGTAAGGTCACATAGAGGTCCACCGGCAGGGGAGGGACTTAGGCTCTCTATAAATTGACAATCCCCAAATACTACTCAGCCGCAGCTGAAAGATCCCCTGGTTTGTTTGTAACCAGGACAATATTGCCTGTATTAGCCTGTATGTAGCTATTTGTGCAAGAGTGTGTGCGTGAGAGAGAGACAGACAGATATGATGTTAGATAGTTGTCTGTCAGCATTCACAACTGTCACAGGAGTATAGTGAAGGGAAAACACTATGACAGCTAAGCTTGCGTCGGACATACTATACACACCGGCTTTGTCCCCCCCCCCCCCCCCCCCACCACACGCACAGTTACACGCAACAACATGTGCACACAATCCATCTTCACCACACATAAAGAAGACATGCAGAGACTTTCTCTTTCAAGTGCAGCTACTGTACGCATACTCACGCACGCAGCCAAACAAACACCCATCTCTCTCTCTCCAGGCGCACACACAAACACACACATTTAAACACACTCCCTCTCGCTCACACAAATGGCTATGGCAGTAGTGTAGCGCGCTGGTTGGGGTAATGGTCTAGTGAAAAACCATTTCACGGCATAGCGAGCAGAGGAGAGTAGAGCACGGAAATCAAGCAGAAGAGACTGATACTGAAGGGAGAGGGAGCGCGCGCACACACACACACACACACACACACACACACACACAGGGAAAGGGAAACACACACTTCCAAACACACACTTCTGCAGGCACACACACTGTAAGAAGAGCTCATCGCTCTCCTTTCAACAGACCCTTCAATTTACCCATAAAACACACACCACCCCATCATTTCAGCACTGACACACACACACACACACACACACACACACACACACACACACACACACAAAAGCTGAAACGTCCCATCCTTTTCACTCGAGCCGTTTCAAGGATTTCAAAGGGATTTAGATCGACGTGGAGTATTTGGTAGAGGCATACTGCTTCAATAAGACTACTTAGCCCAAATGTGAAGTGTCTCTCTTTCTGGCATTTCTCTCTTCAATTGTGTTTGTGCTCTCCTTCATCACTCCATCATCTCTTCACCCCCCCCCACCCCCTCTTCCTCATCCTCTCCATGTCCACACCTCATCTTTTCCCTTCAATAACCATCTCTCCTTAAGTGAAATAAAAGGTTCCTCCGAGTACGCTTAAATCCCTCTCCCTCACCTTCACTCTTACTTAACATCTCCTATATCCTTCATGCTGTTGTCTTGTACTCCACCTAGCTGTCTACTTTCCATGCATCCATCTATCACTTACCCCTATATTTACAACTCTCTCTCAGTGCTCCCTTCCCATTTACCTCCATCCCATCCGCCTTTGTCTTCCACTATCCCCTGCCTTCCTAAAAATCAATGATAGGGAGAGGATCAGTATAGTCGCCTCTGTTCCCCTCAGTGCGCTACTCCTTCCTAAACCCCCTCCTGTTCTTCCTCTTTTCTTCTGTAGAACTGATAGTGAGGGGGAGGGTTCCCTCTTTAACAATACCCTACCTTCCTCCTCCTTCCTTTCTTTTACTCTCCGTCCATCTGTCTTTCTCTCACTCCCAATGTCCTTTTCTCCTTTCGTAAATCAATAGAAAAGGATTTTGCTCCCTTTCTGTCATCCCTCCATCATGCCCCCCTCTCTGCCTCCCACCCAT